TTTAACGTTTTAACGCACATTGGATTTCTTTGCTTAGTTTTTATTATATTCATTGAACTAAATATTCTCTCTACTTCTGCATTACTTATAGGCAAAACAAGAAAACTAAAAACTAGGTTGCAAAGGTCAGCGAAAGGGTTTTCTCCTAGGGCATTTCGAAATTGATAAATTTCGGCCCAAAATTTTACAGTTGAGTCTAAATTACTCCAGGTATGTAACGTTAACCGTTGCCATTGCATCTCTATGGATGTTTTTTCGTCGGCATTATATTTGTGTTTTTGTTGCTGTAGTTGAACAAATACTTTTGGTTTAATTACTCTTAATGCATTTCCAACTGAAAAAGTCAATTTTTTTAGTGTGTCAATATTTGTAGGGAGGCGTTGGCGTACTTCCTTTATTAAAGTGATAATAAAATAGCGACCATTTTCTCGAATTATTTTCTTAATCTTCATTGGGTCTGCGAACAACTTGTTTACTTTTTGCACCTGAAAATTAGGCAAATAGTAAAATCGGCTAAAAACGGCAAAATTTTTTTTACAAACCGGCTAAAAAATCGGCTGCCGGCTAGATCGAATTTTCTCCGGCTAGTTGCTATCAAAACCGGCTAAATCTAGCCGGAAAACGGCTAAAATGGCAACGCTGCACTCAAGCATAAAGCGTCAACACCATTTGCAATAAAATTTCGTAGTGGGCGGACGTAAACATGTCTTCATCGGATGACGATTTTTTGCTACTTGCCACTAAAATCTTTATCTTCCGCGAACTTGCTCATTTTACATATCACAACAAACTAACACACTAATGCTTGTCAACGCTTTGCGCCACTATCAAACAGACCGCTTGTCAAGCGGTCGCGTTGATGGAAAATCAAAAATTTTTGATTTTCCATCAACACGAGCCGACAACAAGTACGTGTGACACGACGATCTCCGATTGCCTCGGTTGCTGGGGTAACCAACAACGGATGCTTGAAATCGCCGACGAGCTTTATGCATCAAAGCAACTGTCAAAAATTTCCGGCAGTAAAAAGTTACGAATTGACACAGCAGAAATGTCGGGTTTTCAGTGTGTCTTTTGGACTTAGCAAATTTTCCTTTTATTGAATATAAACGGGAAAAAATAAAAAAAAGCACCATTACCTTTTTCGAAATGATACATTTTTAATTTCACTAGTGTCCTGTATCAAAATATGATTTTTAATAAAAAGTGGACTTATGATCTTTTCACTCTAAGCTAAGATGCTATATTTTTCCGAAGACATATAGAAAACTAATCTTCCTGCGAAGGCTTAGCTTTAACTCCATTCATTAAAGTTGGTTTATGTCTTGATTGCTGGGTTCATTGAGCATATCGGCTTCAATGACCCTAACAGAGTCTTGCCCTTCGTTCCGCGGTTTAAAGTTACTTCTGATAAAGCTAATTATTGGGGTCAAGCTCTGTTATGGAAGGCTCTTACTGAATTTAATAAAATCTCAAAAATGTTAAATATTAATCTTTCTTTTAATAGGCAATCATTTAGAAGTTTAGTTGATCCGTGTATTCCTAGTGTAGTTTTTTCCTTTTCACATATTAATTGTATTCTAGTCTATAAAATTCTTTATAATCATAGACACAATAAGCACTGAATTGAATTGAAAATGGCTTTGAAATTGAGTCGCGAGGGTACCATTAGTTTAATACGGATGTATGGAGAATACGAATGCCTTTGGAACTGTCGGAAGAAAATCTATAAAGAAACGTATATGAAAAGAGAAGCGTGGAAAGCTATAGCCAATTACTTTGGAACAGATGTGAAAGAGATTAAAAAGAAATTAAAATATCTCCGCACCGCTTATGTTGCTGAGCGACGAAAACTGGAAGAATCGAAAAGAAATTCTGTAAACCCATCGTCAGTTTATCAACCGAGGTTATTTTACTATAATGACTTTAACTATTTGGATAACACGGTTGTTTTGAGAAAGAGGGAACTTTCGGACGATGATGGTGATGCTGGTGACAGAGAAATTTTACCAAAAGAAGAAGCAAGCGAAGCATCCTATGATGAAGTAAGTTTCTGCTATGCCTCTGTTTTAGTAATACGCTTACCTTTTACTCAAATGATTTCAGTTAAGTAATGATACTAATGAACAATTGCATGAAAACGAATCGTTTTGGGAGAAGTGTGCGCCTGAAGATTACCTAGATGAGGACTTTAAAGAACCAGATGTAAAAAAAATAAAAGCAAACTCGCAAGAAAATAACAATACCATAACTACTGTGAATAGTTCTGAACCCAGTTCTAAAAGGAACGAACAAAAACGTAGCCCCGAGACGTCGGCTGGAACAGATGATATGTATTTAGCTTTTGGTAAAAGCGTTGGATTGCAATTAAGAAATTTAAAGCCTATTAATGCCGCTAAGGCTATGGCGCAAATACAGGAAACTCTTACAAAATATATAGTTTCGGAAGTGTAATAATTTGAAGGATAAGTTATTAAAAATTTTAATAAAAGTTAAGCTATTTATTTTTTTAATACTATGTATTTTATTGTCCGATCTTATTATTATTCCACATTATTCCACTTTCTGGCTCAACGATTCGCTAAAACGTTTTCAGCATCCTCAGGGGCAATGCAGCTTTATTAAATCTACCACAAATCATAAAATACAAAGGCTCGTTGTAATCAAAAATAAATAAATATAACATGCAAACATGCATACATATACACTTATGGAACTAAAAATGACAGAAAAACGACAATTTGAGGAGCAACAACTCACACTAAAGACCGGTCCACATATAACTTTCGCGTTGGCTTTGGCGTTGGCGTTGGTTTGACAGAACGCACGTTAAAAGTATGCTTGCTACAATGAACGCTTGGCAGCGAGTGTTTGCGCCACTAAATTAACATACTAACGACAGATAAAGGCCCCTATTATGAGTTGCATTAGATCTTCGACTGTGATCGAAAGTGAATTTTTATTTGGTATTATGACGCTCATTCGATAAAGAATAACGTTATTGTGAATTTCGCTCGTTGAGATTGTTCACAATAGTATATTTTTCACCGCTGGGAAGCTTTCTTTACAAATCGGGCAAAAAAGTGTGCTTATACATATTTATGTAAATTTGTGCCAACAAAAATGAAATAAAAAAGAAAGCGAGTTTATGAAAACGTGGTAAAATGAGTACAACGGAGTTCTGGTTCAACGATTCGTCAGAGGATGAAAGCTTAGTAAACTGGCCAGGAGTAGCAAATGTTTAAGTGTAGTCTTTCGAATATATTTTGACATAAATTATATTTAAGAAATTCAGATCTACAGATTTATTAAAAAGTTTCGACTGTCTAAAGAGGCGTTTGTGAGCCAAATCTATTTAAAATATTTTAAAACTATCAAAAGCGATCTTGTTCTCAGAGATCGTGCCAATTGAGTATTGGGATTTCGTTTTACAAGCAAAATCAGCCTTTCGAGCTTGTGTTTAGTATTCACGACGTTAGACCTGCATGAAATTAATAAAAATATTTTAAAATTAGTGTCCGCCCACTAAAAAGTAAGAAAACAAATGCAAAATCATAAATTTTTCAAAATTTCTAACACTTCGCTACACTCATAATAAGGGTCATGCTAATATTTCATATCAATAATTGCATTAAAAACGATTCTTCTTGTCCGCACTTGATTAAAAAGGAAAAATATTTCACATAATTTTATTTATTTGCAACCGCTGGCGAGAATTTTGGCTATGTGGACGGCTGCATTTGAATTCATGTATTCATAGTCACCTGTTGAAGCGACGTCGATGCCAACGCAACGCCAAAGTTCTATGTGAACGGGCCTTAATACATAAAAATTGTTTAACACCTAAATGCAATAAATCTGTACCATCTTTTGTGGTAGCTTTGTCTAACACCTAAACGCCGCTTAGTTGTCCCAATATACACTTTTTCGCATTCTTCATTTTCATTTCCTTTACACATACATTGCATACACTACATTTAAATTATAATCATTTTATACCAAAAAGTGAATTTTGAAATAATGTCGAGCATTCGCCTGTATAAATAAATACAAAATTAATTTTTTAAATATCCTTGTGGTGAGATATTCGATGATAGTTCTAATTTCTGGACCCTCAGAGGTATTTTAAAAATTTATTGAATTTATTTTTAAATTTTGTAGATACATTTTAAAATAACCAGAGCAATCATCTTATAAATTTATTAAGTAATTTCAGCTGACGGCTGTTTGCCCCGTTTTGAGAGTTGGATCATTTGATCGCGCCACTTTGGATTGAAACCATTCGTTCACATGCATACGTTTTATATGAACGTACATATTCGACCTTGAGCGGCATTCCTTGGAACAGTGTGGACAAGAATACAATTGTGCGCCGGTGTGTATCGCCATATGTTCCTAAAGAGCAAACAATTATTATTATTATTATTTTTTTTTTGAATTTGTTAGATTTAGCTAAAGTTAAAAACCTACATCTAAATTTCTGGTCTCTTTGAATGTCTTGTCGCAAAAGCTGCACTGCAAATTATACTTTTTCTTGTGCATATAGTTGATATGACCTCTTAATGCAGTACGTGAAACGCATTTACGTCCGCAATATTTACAATCCGTGTTAGTATTGTTGTGCTTGAATTGGTGAAGTCTGTGCACATGCTTATTTTTAGACCATTCACCACAAATATTACATTGCACTGGTGGTTCAATGATGCCCTGATGCTCCAGCACATGCCGTTCAAATGAGGGCTTAAATTTGAACGCCTTTCCACATATGTCACATATATGACGTTTAAGGTCTTCATGTATGGCCTCAATATGCTTGCGCAAACGCTGCGCATTTACAAAGCTGTGTAATAATATAAAGATTTGTAGATTAATATTACTTGTAAAATATCTTGTTTGTCAACAATTTCGTTGGCATTAGGTTCGTTCGCGTAGCTGTTAATTGTTCATGTTTAACCAAAACTTACAAGTTTTTGCGTTCGCGTACGCAAAAAACTTGCAAAGTAGGGGAAATTGAGAGAGCAAACTGACAGTTCATTTTGAGGGGAAGCTGCTGGTTTCTGCTGGAAAAATTTTTGCCAACAGCAATTTGCCAACAGGGAAACAGCTGATCAAAAACAGCTGGTTGGCATTTACGCAAATCACAAAATTTAATTTGATGGTTTGGAAGATAAAAATTACAAAATGCGACTAATTAAACTTGTAAGAAATAAGTAGTTATTTGTTTAATCAATAAACTGTGTCAGTATAACACTTTGCGATGACTTTTCGTACGTTTTAAATTTTACACTTTTGTATGTAAACAAAAATTATATCAGCTGTTCGTCTAACTTGCAAGTTTCTGCAAATTTTCTGTTCGCGTACTATTTTGGATATTTCTCTCTTGTGAGCGAACAGATGACATTTCGCCGGAATTTGGCAGTTGGTTGGTTTCTGTTGGAGATTTTAAACGAACGCACCTATTGTCAGTAAACCGCTTTAGTATTGAAAATCATATTGATATGTACATGCATATATCCATTTCAAAGACAAGCCACTGGTACTTGCGGAATAATTTTAAAATGTTAAAAGATACATATCTCCGCTCGGCTGAAAATACCTCGTATACGTCAAATGTAATACCACTTATGAGGTGGCACAGAAAAAATTCAGCCTCATTGCGTAAGTCGTAAATTAGGCTTAATTGTAGGACTCTACAACATCGGCATTGTCTACTGTCGTGCTGAAATAAGTAAACGACGAAAATAGTCGAAAACTATCAAGTTTTTCTGTTTTAAAACACTAGTCGAGTCGAAATTTTAGGCAATGACATGAAATTTTCGAAACTATTCGATCCTCGAAAAACCATTTGCGTTCGACACGATTCTCGCAATGAGGTTGAATAATTTTGATAACTCCGTGTCAGGTACAATTATTACAGGTATTAGTTGCGTTTTTTTTTACTCATTTCCAGTAAAATCCAGTAAAAGTTTTTACGAATTTTCATGTTTTGGCGTTTTCGTACGCAAAAACTTGCAAAGTAGGGGAAATTGAGAGAGCGAAAAATGACAGTTGAAGTTGCAAGTTTTTACTGGATTTTACTGGATAAATTTTTACTTGTAAGAATTTGCCAGTACGAAAAACAGCTGATCGCATGTTGCTGGATGAAATTTAAACTAATAAGGAAACTGTTTGTGGGTTTTTATTGTTGAATTTCCCAAAATAAACTTATTTAAATACAAAATATATTGTTTTATTAGGAAATTGCTGCGAATAAACAACCAATTTATCAGCTGTTCATGAAACTTGCAAATTGTTACTGGAAAAGCGTTCGCGTACTTTTTTGCAAATTTTTTCTATGAGAGCGAATTCTTAGAAATAAAGTTACTGGAGAGTTGCTGGCAAGTTACTGGATAATTTGTAAAAAAACACAACTATTGTCTTCCCAGAGAGCGCATATTCCGATCTGCCTTTTTTAAAAGACATCGGGTGCAATCCCATATTCCTCGGACTAAAACTGCCAACAAATAAAAATTCGCTCAGAGTGAGAGAGTAACAGTGAAAAGTACACGTGTGTCAAGTTAGCACTACACTTTTCGAAATTGGAAAAGTTAACTACGGCATTAATTGTAGTGTTTTTGTTGTAAATTTGTTGTGGAAAGAAAAAATTTGTAGCTCTCGTTTTTTAAGAA